ATATATATATATATATATATATATATATATATATATATATATATATATATAGTAATGTATGTGTATATATATATATATGTGTATATATGTATATATGTGTATATATATATATTTCTTGATTTTACGTAAATATTTCAATAATTTGACAACACATTTGTATGATGTCCACAGTTCTCTGGTGTAGGTTAATGGTCACATGCATGCAAGTATACAGATAAAATAATATTTATAGTAAGTGTCTAATTTAAAAAATATATATACAATTATTTTACAATTTAAAAAAATATGATGTGATTATTTCATGATTGTGAATTTGAACTGTAATAAGACATTTAATTTTATGTAAATGTCTCATATTGCTACTGATTTACTTTATCTACTGTGAACTGAGCCTCTTTAAAAACACTGTATTAAAAGCATGTGTAAATACATTGACACGCAATGTATACACTCTAAAACACACCCCACCTATATACTATTTACTTCTTTAATTTTTAAATAGTAATAATTAGATTAAGTAATTCGATTAAATAATTAGATTAATAGTGCAGCCATTTGTGGATTTTAATGTTACATTTGATTTCATTCATTATTAGCTTATAACTCACAAACTCCTGCAGTTCGCTCTCAAACACCCAGTTATTAATGAACCCTCTTTGGGAAACCCTGCATTAACTTTAAATTCTTGCCTGTGAGACGTCAAAACGACTGCCCTCCCATCACGGATGATACTCAGAATGGCGGTCCACAGGAAGCGACGGGAGTGAGGGTCCATTCCTGTGGTGGGCTCATCCTACATTCATTTACAGGGTTAAATTATACCAATGTTTTTTGTTTCGCACAATGACACTAAGAACACTTAGGAAAAACATACCAGGAGCACTAGAGGAGGACAGCCAATCATAGCAATAGCAGTTGACAGCTTCCTCTTGTTGCCCCCGCTGTAGGTACCAGCACAGTTTCCTGCATATTCAGACAAACCCAGCTTCTGAATGCCCCACTCTGCCACCTACAGAAAACATACAATCATACAGTACACAATAATAATGATTGTAACAGAATGCATATCAGTTAACACAATATCAGTAACTGAACCTAACATACTGTAGTTGCTT